CATTTGTGATTAAAGTGAGTTACAGCTGCCTGGAAGGGGTACCAGAATCCACTTCTCAGTGCTAACGCTTGCATGTAAGAACAGGCATACAGAAAAAGAGAAGGAAAGAAAATAATACCAGAAAATAATAATTAAAAATGGATTTTTGTCAGGGCTCAGTTTAGCAGCTGTCCCTAGCCCATGCTTGTGCATGTAATTCAGGATAAGTTCATGACAGACTTTTAAGTTGGGACAATGTTGCTTATTCCTGGTGAATGGAGAGATGAGGATGAACTGGCAAGAGTTGGTACAGTAAAATCCATCCCTTCCCAGACACTGCTAATGAAGCAGGGCTGAAGAGATTGAAGTTGCCTATATAAGTCTAAAGCCCAGCGAGACCATTGTAGAGATTTCCATTTCACTAGATTTTGTCTCAAACCTTGTGCCAGTAACAAAAGAATTCTCCAGTAGGAGAGCTGCTTTCTAAGCAGAAGCACTGTATATGCATAACATTTAAAAACATTTATTTAGCCTTACCTTCCTGATAGATCAGAAATGAAGTGACTAGGAGAGAGAGAGAGATGGTCTATACTTTGTATGCAGGTGCCCTGCAGCCCCTAGCACTTCACATGTAGTTTGAAACAAGATTCCCCTGTCTGGTCCTTGATAAAGGAAATGGTTTATAAACCCAGTCTGGGGATTTACCTGAAATGAGGACATTTTTTTGAAGACCTCACTGGTGAGTTCACTTGCAGCAGATGGCAAGCTGAACCTTCCTGCCTGTGACCTCGCCCACTGAAGCAGAAAAGAAACCAAAAGAGATTTTTGGCAGGGCTGCCTCTGCCGCAGCATCATTGTGGGTGGGCTCTGGAGTTTGGCTTGGATTTCAGATAAGTTGGTGGCTTTTTGGGTTGCAGCCATCTGTGGTCCTCATGAAATTTTTCTTACTGTCAGTTCTCGCTGTTTTAATCAACAGGGGGATTGAAATCAACTGCAGCCTGCTCTGTGCCTAGGCACTCCCCTGGTTCCCAGTCCAGGCTGGGGGGGGAAGCCCCAGGGCCTGCACTGGGACAGGCAGATCAACACCAGCGTGTCTGAAATACCTCTTTGGAGAGGGGCACTGGGCTCTCACCACGCAGGGGGTAGGCCATGCAGTACCAAAATGGCAGAGTCCATTGCTTTTTACTTCATCTGATTCCTACACAGAATCAAACTATCTTGTTCCCATACCTGTGTGCTGCCAAAAGTTTCTGAACTTTTGTTCTTAGCCAAATTGTTATGCAATTGTATAGGTTTTGACATATGAATAGTCCCATTGAAGTGACTGCTATTCCTTACGTCCTTCAAGTTGCCCATGCATTAAAGTACCTTGCTGAATCATGGACATTTATATTAGCATTCACTATCTTCCAAAAGTAACAAGCTCTTGTTTTCCTTTTCTCAGATTCTCTGAAGACTTTCTTAATCTATTTTCACAGCTGTAAACTAAGGCGATCTCTGCTCTTTGCTTGGATTAGTCATCAGGACTTGGAGGGTTTGCTTAAAACCAGTAATCCCAGCACTGCCTTTTGTTCTCTGCAGTGTTCAGCCATGATTGTGCACAGGGACACACTTGTACCACTTCCTGGGCAGACCTGCCAGTGCATTCAGACATTGCAAACACAAAGTCAGTGTTTCTTTTTCCAGTTCTACATTTCCGCCCCCCATGTATATGCCATATTCTGCAGTTACTAAAATGCTCAGCACTGCAATAATAGCTAAGTGCCTGGTTAGCCTGCTCGTGCCCTGGGACACCTCAGTCCCAGGCCAGGGGCTGCTCATGAGAAAACACTAGTGGCCTTGCTTTGCTTTGGCAATATCTTCTGAGTTCCTTTATTGCTATAGGACTCATCTTTCTCTGCCTTAGACCTCTAACTCTAATCTTGACTCTAACCCTGGGCTGAGCCCCAGCCCAGGGGCTCAGCCACATCCCCAGGATGAGCAGTGCCAAGGGTTGTCATCAGTAGCCCCGGAGCTGCTTTTGAAGCCACCAGAGCCATCCTGCCTGCCCAGCCAAGTGCTCCCCATCCTTAGAGCCTGGCCTGAGTTTAGCTGTGTGGCATCTCAGCAGGCAGGCACAGTGTGCTGCAGGGAACTGCAGGACATTATTGAGGTGACCTCAGTAAAGTTCTGGTGGAGGTGGACCCTTCTGTCCCAGCTGGCAGACCTGCCCTTGCTTAACCCCAAATACACATCAGTGAAGTCAAAATCACTTTGTTTCCCCATCAGTCTTCTTCACTTCTCATTTTCTTACAGAAGGCCTCCCACATGCATGAGATTTCTCCATTCTTTGAGTTCACTGCAGAATTAGTTTCCCATTTCTCTCAGCGTGCTGCACACCTGAAAACTGCACATCTTCTCACAGCCTCTCTACTCTTTCATTGTCCTCCCTCCCTGTTAACTGCACAGGTAACCAGATGACTAAACTTGCTCCCTGGTCCCTTGCCCTTCGAGTGAGTTTAGTAACAGAAACAAATAAAAGTGGGAGTGATGTGGATGCATCTGTCAGCTCCAGCCTCATGCATCAACAATGGAAAGGCTTTTTCCTTGATTTGTATTTGTGCTGTGTTACACACTAGGGAAACTGATAGGAATGTAATATTTGTATTAGTGTGTTTTAATCAGTAGCATGAACTACTCTTCCTATCCCCATGAAGGAAATACCAGAAATATGTTGCACTTGGTACTTTCTGTTATACCACAAATGTTAGTAAACGATTTTTTGCCAGATTTATGCTCAGTGAATTATCTCTGAAATTTGTGGAGCTATATTAGAATTTAATTTGCTGGTGTGGAGTTTATATTGCTCCCAGTGATGTCTTCAGCTGAAAATCTCAGCTTCCCATTGCCTTACTTAAAGAAAAAATAGGCCTATGTCTCTAGTGTTTCTCAGAAGGAGTGCTAGAGGCATTGTAAATAGCTGGTGCCAACGGCACTGCCGTGGTGTAGAGGCTCTGCTGCCGCCATACATGAAGAAGTGCGGTAGCAATCTGTGCCAGAGGCATTTAGGAAATATACCCCTGAAGGCAAAGTTTTCTGAAAGGTGAGGAGGATTTTAGCAACTGCATTAGTATCTGTGGCATGTTCAGTACCTTTGATTTTCTTTTTAATATCATGTGGTGGAATAATTCAGAGGTGATGTGCAGCATCATCATGATATTGGGGCCAGAAGAAGCAGTTTGAATGAAAACTTAATAGAAATTGAGTGTGCTCCCATGCTGAGCATAGAATTGGTTGACCGCATAAATCTAAATGTCAAATAACTAGAAAGTTTTACCAAATGGAAATGTGATGTTTTATTTCCACGTTGTCAGCACATGAAAAAAAGCATACTTAGTTGGCACAGAGTAAAACTGTATAAGTTCTTTTTTTTTAAAAAAAGAAAAATTTAAAGTAGGACCAAGATGCCGCCAGTATTTTCAAGAAGTAGTAAAATGTCAATTATTAATTAATTTGAGAGCTAAGCATCACATGGGCGTTTATAACCATTATCTGAAAAGTGAGAAGCATTGAAAAGTTTGTATGGGAGCCCTGAGTCCAAATACACTTGGTAGAACACTGCTGAATAGTGAAACATAGGTTGGTGAGCAATCTAGAAATGATGCTGGTTTATTGAGTGGTGTGGATTGTTACTTCGGTTGATTTGATTTTTATCCTGTAAGGAAATTAAAGCTCAAGCACTTCCAAACTTGGTTATATTTCTAAAGATCATCTTTGCATGCCAGCTTTTGCCTAGAAACTCACCCGAAGATGTCAGCCATTGAAACCATTTCATGTGGAAGCATTGCTAAGTAAATTCACTAAATGCCTATTCATCCTGGTAAGATGGAGAATCACTGGAGCAGCAAATGTGAAAATCAGCACAGCTTACTATGCAGAAAGCAGTTTTCTGAGGTTGCCAAATTGAGATGCAGAGTCTGACCCTGGGAGGTATTACAACTCACATGAGTGAGCATAGGAGGAGGGTCTCAGGCTCCTACAGCCTGTTCATTCAGGCTGGTTGATAGGCAGATACTTCATTTGGTCCAGTTAAAATCAATGAGATTATGAAGATAGTTTACTAGGCAGATAACATTTCCAAGTTTTTTCAGCCTGACCCCTGGAGTTAAATGTATTTTGTCCAGAACTCTGGTTTAACTTCGTTTTCTGTGGGTTATAATGAAATGCTTTCAAGATGCAGTACTACTGACAGCTGTTTTATCTTTAGTTTTTCTGCCATCAACTCCATTACAGACCATTGCTTAAATGGTGTTATATCTATAGTGTTGTGGTTGTGAATGCAACTCAGGAGATGAAGATCTTTTTAATATGATTTATTCAGTTTTCCTAAATATGCTGACCTAGATAAATAGAGAACATTTTTGTTCCATTGTTAAAGAAATAACAGACCACAAAAGCTGTCAAGCATAAATACATTCTTGGACATGTCAGCTGAAATTTTGAAAATACTGGTGTCAGTTTGCCAGTCATACTAATTGGAATTAACCTCCTAAACTCCTTTGTTCCTGTTAATTATATTGGCATTTTGACATCCAAATTCTCTTGCTTTATGGGCCTCTTCTCTATTACAAGGATGAAAACAAATGAAATGCCAATAGATACTTAACCAAATTCCCTAGGAAAGATCTAGCAGAGCATGTAAAATGGGACTATCAGTGCAGTCATCTCACAGCTGGATTTTCATACTTTGAAAGTGCTGAGCGGTATTACTTAAGGCATACTCTGTTACAATGCTTAAAACATCTGCCAAGACTTGATAGGAAATTCGTTAAGCTGTAATAAAGCTGTGTTTCTTTCCAAGTACTCTTTCCTGAGTAGAGGGAGTCAGCGAAGTTTAGCAGCAAGATGGAAGTTTTATCAGCAACTGCCTGCTTCAGAGAGTCTGTGGATAGTCCACAAATGAAAACAAAAGTACATGACTTAACTGTAGACATAGTAGTTTTCACAGTGTAATTGTGCATCTTTTGTTCTTTCTCTTGAAGGACAAATGACCAGCTAGTAGCATTCCTGTCCAGATATCGTGATATGAACTTCCTGAAATCACATGGGAGAGACAACGCAAGGTAAGCTGGCCCTTTCCTCAGCATATTTTAACCATGGTACTGAGAGTTTTTGCATAGCGATGGTTTTCCGGTGTTACCTGAGTGAAGAAATCCCTAGTCCAGGAAAGAGAAGCGAATGTGGAGGAAACCCTCTCCTTAAGACAGTTGTTTATTGGTCCAGAATGGCTCCTTCCCAAAGTTGGTTTGCAAAGATGCTTTTGTGGGGAGGGAGACATTAAGCAGACTGATGCTTGCTCCCTCCCTGGGGCTTGGCACTGGCCAATGTTTCAGGAGGAAGCAGTAATTGCCCTGCACGGTCCCAGCCCCACTGATGACCAAGACCTACACTAGCTGTGGTCTGCAGCAAAGCCTTGTGCAAGCAGAGTATTTCTGCAAGGCATGGGAGCCTGTACCAACCTGTACATGCTAGCAAGGGTGAGGATGGTGGCTGGAGGGTTATCATGATCTGCTACAGTTTTGATGTCCTTGAATCGGTGTCCCTCTCCATCCACCCTGCGCAGATCTTGGAGAGAAGAGAATGTGCTGTGCTTCCCGCAGTGCATCGGTAATACTTACAGCTTTGTGGTTTGAGGGAGCAGTAGTGACCAAGCACCGTGTTTCCAAAGATTTAAACCACCTCTGCAGTTGGAAGATCTTTTCCATCTGATTGCAGTTGTCCTCTTTTCCTCTTTATTGATAGTTTTGCTTTTCTTCTTTATTGCTAGTTTTATACTGTAACAGCAGTCTTGCAACAGTTCGAGCAACTCCATATGCTGTCCCAGTGGCTTTGCACCTAAAAATATTATTTTATTCTGCTTGGGTCACCAGGTGATCTCTTTATTCTGTAAAACATCAAGCATACTGTAAGGCTGGGTTAAGATAGTGTGACACACCAAGTTGCGTGTTTAGCACAGTGGGTGAGTAGAATAATGCACAGGTCTTTCTTATACTCTTACTTCTTGGCTGCTCTTGCTCCTGTCACTAGATTTATCAATTCTGTCATGTGGCTGTTTAAATGAAGTCCTCATGAGCAATCATCTGTGCATTCAGAAATTCTATAGCATGTAGTAAAAAATAAAAAATACTGTGAGGAATAATATTTAAATCCGAGTCAACAGTTTTCACAAGAGAGTCTCTGGTTTGGGAAATGCAGAGTGTCAGAGTGATTGGCAGGCTCAGCTCTACCATGCAATAGTGATCGACAGCAGAGTTAAAGTAGAAAAGGGAAGAGAAATGGCCAGGGAAAAGCAGACAGTCTCTTATGCCTTTTTGCTCCTCTGGTGCACCTGATTCTTCTCAAGTTCCCTGAGCTGGCTAAGGAAAAGTAACTAATGAATTATGACATGCCTGCATCAAGCTGGTTTGAACATGCCAACCTCTGCTTGGCTAGAACAATTTAGATCAATTAAACACACTAATCTGGTATTAATTTAATAATAAAATGAGCTAATGTGCCACTTGTCCTCCCCTCACAGGAATAACAACCCATTTGTTAGTTCAGTGGTTCCTTTTGACTATATAAACAACTAAATACCTTTTAGCCTATTATAATTTCACCATGTTTTATTTTTTCTCCTGGATTTCTACCATAAATTCTCTGTGCATCAGGGAACATAAAGTGGGATAGGAGTGCAGATTTGCTGTCCCTGTCTGCCGTGGTTGTGCAGTCCCTGAGTTCCGTAAGTGCTCCCACTGCTGACCACTGGATAAATGGATCCTTTCACATTGCCCCTTGGCAGCCCTCCAAAATTTCTATCAGGGAGATAGAGTGGCTCCCCTCTTCCTGCATAGCCCAGATAACTGTAGAGACAGGACTCAAGCCAGCAGCTGCAGAAGCCTCTGAGTAATATTGGCATTTAGTAAAAATTCATTCCATTGGTGTCAAAAGCTGATTAAAAAACAGTTAGCCCTCTGTTTGTATTGTGATTTTCCAGCTCTACACCTACCTGTTGAGAAAGAAATTGTATCTAATGTGAAGATCTCTAGCCTGATCTTTCAGTTTTAGTGTTTCAGTAACTCAGTCTTGCCTAAACCGGTAAATGTACTGTCTGCTCTGCCCATTTGACACACAATTTCCAACTGACTTTCATTTTATGCCCAAGATGTGTAAGCTTGGTCATGACGGTGAGGTTTACCTCTGCAGTTAGAATGATTAAATGCTCTGGGCTGAAATACCTTGTATAAGCACAGGCAGGTGAGACGAGACTGAAGGCCCATCTAGGCTGTCACCCCCTGTCCTGCTGCCTACAGCTCATGTACCCAGAGGAACAGAAGAGGTGGGTAGTAGTGCTTCCTTACAGTATTCTCTCAGCCTCTGATGACCTTTGCTTGGAAATTTCCATAGCCATACTTGGTGACTTGCTCATTTAAGGGATGTTTATTTTTTTCTATTAATTTTTCCAGTTACATTTTAATTTTTCCCATTTGCTTTGCCTTGTCACAGCCCTGTGGAAAAGAAATATCCCGTAGGGAGGAATGGTATGGCCAAGAGCTTAGTAAGGTCCAGAAGAGAAGTAACAGCCTCAAGGTTTGGCAACAAAAATTTAAAAAAAAAAAAAAAAAAAAAAAAAAAATTAGGACATAGGCCAGTCTCCAAGCTATTGGGTAATAGGAGAAAACTCCCTTGGGACATCCTATCTCAAAACAGACTGGAACAGGATTTTTTATTTAAAAAGGCTAGTTGAAGCCATGATAAGGGAGAGGGCACTGGACTAGACTGACTGCCACCCCATCTACAATAAAAATTTTGCTGTTCCAAGGTGTTTTTCTCAAAACCTGTGAATTAATAATACAGGAGCTCAGTATTCAAATGTCACTGAAAGCAACGTATAACCCTTGCTGCTACTTTTTATTTTAATTTGTGGATGAATAATGGCTCCTGAACAATAAGCTTTCATCTGTCTAAGTTTGCTTTGTAAATAATGGGAACTGAATTTTAAGTCATCATAGTCTTTGGATCATGCAATGGAGAGTGAAAGATTGGAAGTGCCATCTTAAAACTGAAATGCTTATACAGCTTAATCATGATGTGCTTTGTATGCAAGCCATGTTCACAATCAGTACATGTTTTACTGCCAAATAAGGAGAGAAACCAGGCTTCCTTTTATAGAGTGAAGTTTTCTTTTAGTTATGCCAAAGTCATTAAAAAGTGCATCGCTCTGATTTTCCTTTAGTGGCTTCAGAAAAGGGAATGGACTTGAAAATGGCTCCTTAACTCAGCTGGAGAAGCATTATTTCCTTAGAGAGCTGGATGTATGAAATGAAATTGCATACAGTGGCTGGAGTCGTTACATAGTACTTAGTGGGCAACACTTACATTTTCTCCTCTTTTCGGTGTCTTAGACTATTAAAAGCAAAAGAATAACCCAGTAGTTGTATAAGCTATTACAGTTTGGAACACCCGTAAGATCTGGGTTTTTGTCAGGAGCAGCACCTGGCTGGTGTATTATAAAATATAAAAACGGTCAAATGTGACATCTTCAACAACAGGCAGGAAAAAGGGTTTTTTTAATAGAAACTGCCACAGTAGTCATTTGTGAAACAGTGTAAACATGCTGTGAAGGCTGGATGCTGTTACATCTTAGAGGAATCTGGAGCTCATAGGCAGAATACAAACAGCTAAAGAAAAGGCCGTTAAAAGTTTGTTATGTGTCTGAGTTATTTTCTTGTGCTGTTTTTACCTCCTCATTAATACTGTTCTTTGCAGTTGTGTTGCCCCCTTTCTGGCTCCTGAGTTCCAGATACTTTTAGAGGTGTTGCTGAACTGTACTGCTTTTAGTAAGGTGCAATGCAATCCCATCCCAGTTTTCAGAGCCTGGAGAGACTTTAGCTCCTGAAGGGCTGAAGCACGTTCCCAAAATATCCACCTCTTTCAGCCCAGTTCTGCTGTTGCGTATCTATTTCATCACCTTTTCAGACATGCCTTTTTTCCACTGTGGCACATGCTGTTCGTTGGGGTTCTGTACACTGGGTTGATGTTGGTTTGGTGGTCAGTTAGAAAATGGATCACACAGTAAATGCTATTATGTATTGCCATGATGAATTGCCCAGTAAGTACCCAAATGCTAGGAAAAAAAAAAAAAGATATATTATGCCTGCTGTTGGAATAGTTCAACCACATGGTTCCCAGTTATGCTTACCTTGCTACTCACGTGAAATATTTAGTGGTTCTTTTGGCTGAAATTTCCCTCAGCCATACTTGCTTTTGTTACTTTTTTTTAAACACCAGTATTCTGAAGCACACAGACTAAGAAGATAATATTTTTTGCTCATATGTAGTTCAGCCCAACAGTTGCATGTGAACTGTAGCAACTGAAATAACAACGTGAATCTTCTATGCAAATCGACCGCACTTAAAAATTTTAGACTTTACAGCTAACTTTCAGATGTTCCTTACTGCTTTATGCTAAGCGACAGGGGAGTCATAAAGCCCTTACTGCTTTAGCTTGACTGTTTGCACAGTTTGCCTCCTTGTAGGGCTTTTATTTCTGCTTGGTTTTGGAAAACAATTCTAAGTTGTCAGTGCAAAGAAAAACAAAAATAAGTTGAAGATGTTAGGAAGATGCAGGAAAAATAGCCATCTGTCTTGACATGGGACAAAGCAGGATGTTTTTTGGTCTCAGTAGAGCAGAGAAGATCATCCACCAGATCAGGAAAGTGCAGTAAGTGAGAAGGTTTAAAGTAGCTATATTTTATGGGACAGGGTGGGAATTAGGAAGGAGGTGAAAACTGAGGTACCAGTAATCAGCAATGTTACTGCTATCTAAGAACCTTGAGCTGCACACTTCATTTTCAGTGGTATAAATAGTAATATTTGTGTCCTTTCATCCGAGGTCCTGTGACATTTTATAAAATAAATATGTCAGGGAACATCCCTTTAAGTTGGACAGATATTGTTGACCCTTTTTTACCCACAGGTCAATAGCCTGATTTGGTTGCTTTGGTATTGAAGTGACTCACACTTGCCCTCAATCACTTGGAAAGTTTGAATCCCCATTTCCTTTTCGTTCTTCAATCTAACA